GTATTTTGGACCACCTGAGTCCAGAATGCACCAACTGAAACCACCTAGCACATGTTGATAATGATACTGAAATGCTTTGCATATCTGCTAAGGCAAAAGTGTTCCACAGGTGAGGAACAGAGAGCCAAGCAATCTTAAATGGCCCATCTGTGGTAAAAGACAAATCCAATACATTTGATTCAAGTTGTTTCTGAACAGAACAAAAAAAAAAAACACAACAGACTGACAAGCAGTAAAGTGGGAAGCATCCTGTACCCAGTAACTGTGGGGAGTGGGGCAGAAAAACATCATCTTCAGGAAGGTGACATGGAGCCTGTACAGTGTTCAACTGCCCAACAGTCTGTCTTTTCTGTTTCAAGACTGGGATCCAGAATACGGTGGCTTTACTTCATACATTGCTAAAGGTGAAGATGAAGAGGTAAGGACCTCAAATTAGGTGAAATTGTTTAGGGTAGAGGGACATTATTACACTTTGTCATAGCACTGACATAAGCCTGAGGGTGTGCTCAGTATCATGCTGCAGCCTTTCTGCCTGAATCGCCTCTGGCTTCAGCCTCAAGAGGCTGATTTGAGAAGGCTGTGATGGGCACAAGGCTGTAACAGAGATGATGCTTTTCCAGGAAGTGCTGTTCCATGGGGTCACATTCAATATCGGCACTAGTGACAGTGCTGAGAGTCATACTAAGTTACTGTATAATGAATGTTTCAGATTGAGGGGTATTCAGATGAAAATAGTGACATGGTTCATTTACTAACATCAGACTGACTAGCTTTTGAAATGGTTTTGTTTGTTTCTTCCTTGGAATGATATCAAAGCCATTGTTGTGAAGCTCATTTCCTCCCTTGCTTTCATGTCTCCTAGCTGTTGACAGTGAATCCAGAGGACAACTGCTTGGCTTTGGTTTATAGAGACAAAGAAACTATGAAGTTTGTGAAGTACATCAATCACCGTAGCTTGGCACGCCTGAACAAGCACCCAAACAGAACAGGATTTTGGGATTTTTCCTTTATCTATTATGAGTAATGGTGCAGAGTGTAACCAGAGAACATGGGGGGTTGGGGGCAGGTTTCTGTCCGGGCATTCAACTGGGATCCCTCAAAGCCCAGACAGACATTGCTGATGCCAGCTTCATCAGGCTGTACACAAGCTGTACCCTACCACATAGGGTCCAGGTGACTTCAGTTGTACAAATGGAAACCCAGGCTTCTAACAACATCCAACTGCTTTTAATGCTGCTTGGAGGGAGTTGGTGTGACATAGCTGTCAGCTTTCCAGCTGTTCTCTCATGGAAACAGCAGTTTCGTGTGCATCTAACCTGAAAATTACAACTGTACATTGCCCCAGGCTGATGACTGATTTTATTAAAAAAAGAAAGGAAGGAAATGGGTCAGTTAAATGCTTCAGACACTGGTTGGGCAGGTTTTGTTGCAAAAGGCCCAAGATGTTTTCTGGGGTTTAGCTGCGTTCAGTTTGTAGAGGCAGAAACAAAGGGGCTGCCATGGGAAATAGGTTTTTCCAGCTGCGCAGCTCTGTGAAGTTGGGAAGAAAGGCTATGAAGCTGCTGATACTGCGAAGGACCTGGCACTGTAACAAGGGACAGGACTTTACTATGCTAAGTGCTGTGCAGACAGACCCATATGCAGCCCTTTCTCCAAAGAATTTACAAGCTAAAATAGACAAAAGATGAGAGCTGCTCCTGCTTATTCTGCTTGTGTGGGTACATGAGTGGTGCTGTGCTTCACATGTGAAGGGTTGTGTCTTCAGCCTCAGAACAGGACTGTGGGCTGGTAGCAGGAAGGCGGTCACTCGCCTCTCCCTGCCTTGTCATCCATGGGCAATCCAAGGGTCACTAACTGCACAGCCTTGCATTGTCTTTGCTCTCTCCCAAGGTTTGCTGGTCTCCAATGTGGCTTTTCTCAATGGGAATCAGCTGAGATCTTTCCAGGTGGCAGATGCCCAGGTCCTGTGGTTAAACAGCACAAGAAAGGCAGTGGCCTTGGTGCAGTGACTCACCCGTGCACACGCTTTCAGTGTTCTCTCCCACGCCACTTGCCTCAGCGCCATATCAGACTCACTGTGAAGGTGCCCAGCCTATCAGCAGTGCTGTTGTAGAGCTGGGCTAGTCACTGCAGGAGGCAACAGACTGTCGAACACGCTGCTGGAGGCTTGGCTCAGCCTTGCACGGGCTTGCCTGTTAACTTTCTTCGGCAGTGAAGAGCCACAGGTGTACTTTCAGCTCACCCAAGCCAAGTAGTGCAGGCTACAAGATTTGCAGCAAGCACATTTCACTTCTGCCTCTCCTGGGTTGGGAGAGGGTAGCTGTGGATTAGTTTGCTGCTCCTCCTGTCCCAGGCCTGTTGAAGACCACTGCAGCTGTAGAAGGCCACAGCTGGCAACAGAGGAGCAGTAAGGGTAGGAGACCATGTTGTCCCTGGGCACCCTGCACCTTCCACGGAACAGGACGTACTTTGGGCATGCCTTTATGAAGATAAAAGAACAACCTTCTGCTATTAAGTACTGGTTTCTGAAGCACTGCTGCTTATCAGGGCAGCAGCTCTTCCTGGGGGCGATAGTTCTTAGTGTGAGCTGCTGCAGTGGAAACAGGCAAGTAATGGAGGATTCAAAGAGGGAAAAAAAAAAGGCAGATTTTTTTTTGGTAGTTCTGGACAAAGGTAACAGATACCACATCTATTCACAGCATAGCTGACCAGGCAAAGTCAGGAGTAAATCAATGAAATGAAGTTACTTAACATGCTGCATTGTGAACCTGAGTGTGCTTGGCAGGTCTTGGAACAGCCTCCCAGAAGACTGGGAAGAAGCTGGGCTTTCTGAAGTTTGCTGCTTTTTAATAATATAAACCACACTAGAGGGCATACCAGCCTCTACTTGAGCAAGCCTGGATCTATCTGATCACACAAAGAACCACCCTTCTGCCTCCAGTGACTGAGATGAAGCCATTTAAGAAGCCAAATTTGCAGTTAGCAGTCAAAAGTTTTAAAAGAATCACCACATCTCTGCTCTCTCACCCTTCCTGTCAGGTCCAAAAGCCAAAGGCAGCCCCACACATGGCTAGTGCTGTAGCCAGAGGGGAAAGACTCTGCTCACTGGAATTTCAAAGGATACTTGCTGCTGGGGAAAGACAGGCCTTCATTTAGACCACACCAATACTGGGTGCCCTTTCTCCAGCTGCTCTTGCTGGATACAAATCTGCATTTACGATTAGGTGTAGCTGCTGGCAGAGTACTCTGATCATTATGGAAAGGAATATGTATATGAAATATATCCTTACCCACAAAATGAGTAAGCAGGACAACACAGAAAACTAGGATGGAGAGCAGCAAGTGAACAGTTATGAAGTATAAGCAACAGAGAACAGAAACTTAATAGCAGGCAAGATGGCCTCATGCAGACGTTGATCATTTGAGGATGCACATTTCTCACCAGCTGACTGCACCTCCAAAGCCTGGCATTTGATGCAGGGTACCAGCAGCTTTTGGTTACCAAAATGCCAAGCTGTTCAAGTACTTCCCAACAAGTATTTAGGGATTTGGTCATTGTCAGTTTACCAAGAAGGTGAAGACCAGAACACTTCCAATATGGAGGGAGGTAAGACAGTGTAGCTGTAGACCAGACTGAAGAAATGGTTTCCACATTCATAAACATGCAGTAAAGAAGTCTGACATCGGGTATTCAGTGATCCAGTGACATCAGGTGTATAGTAGCAATTAAGATGAGCAGCCATCCACGGGACTTGGAGAAACAAGGACTAAAATCAGATAACCTGTTGCCAAGTGTCAGTTCCAATTGTTTTGGTTTTATAAACTCCAACCTGGAACTTGAATTAGGACACTGAAAACCACTGCTCTGCAGATCCCTCTCCAGCACACTCCAGGTACTCCTGCAGCACCCTTCCCCGGCAGCAAAGGGACCATATGAGGAAGACTCCAGCTGAGACAGAAATTTCAGGCAGGCACTGAAGTGCCCCGGCAGAGCAAGGTAGTGGTCTAGACCCAATCCCCCTCACATGTACCAAGGTGTTGTGCCATCTAACTAGCTCTGCCCCTGAAGTTTCAGGAACATGCAGCTCTATTAGTGTGGTTTCAGTAGTTATTCTGTACTTGACAAGCAGTTTAACGTGCTGTGGCAAGTTCCACCTGAGAACAGGATGACTAGGCATTAGTCCTGGGGTGAATCCTACCAGTGGGGACTGTTTGCCATTGTTCTCCTGCTGCAGGTTCATCTCATCATAAAACCACAGAGTGGTTTGGGTTGGAAGGGTCCTTAAAGTTCATCCAGTTCCAACCCCCCGCCACAGACAGGGACACCTTCTAGTAGACCAGGTTGCTCCAAGCCCTGTCCAACCTTGGCCTTACATTAGTTGGCTGCTGCATGCCAGCCAAGGGTTGCTTTATTTCAACAGCAACTGAAAAGCTGGCAGCACTTCAGCTTATGGGATGTGGATTTTACATCTGGCAATGTTAAAAGTTGTTTTTATGGTAAAATATATTTGTTGTCAAACTTAGCTGGGGGAAATCAGTCTTATCAGAGGTCTGTACTGTGACCGAAGTACTGACCTCACTGCCAAGAGCAAAACAGAGCTGGTGCATTGCCCTAAAAATTTGACTGATGAGAAAGCTTTGAGATCAGAGCCACTCTCTTATCATCAAATGGACTACATAAATGTAAGGAAGCAAGCATTAGTATTTTGAACATAAAGAACAAGGGGCTGAAACAGTGGGAACAGGTACAGCAGGTGGCAGAAAGCCCAGCACTTTTTGCCAGGAGACTGTTCCATAATCAACTCTTTAAGCTTACTTGCTTAGAACAGCCTGGGTGGCTCACCACACTTTCACCAAGGAGCTGAATTTGACTAACCACCAGGTTCTTAAAAGGATTCAAATGCGTTTCTGCTGCAGATCTGAAGTGACAGAGGTCTGTGCTTTTGGCAATCCATACTGAAGGGGTTGAAGTACCCACAATCCCTAAAGTGGCAAGTGCCCACTTTAGGGGTTAAAACACCCTGCAAGATTTGCACTCCCCATCCAGCTGGTTGCGTGCTCACAGGTGGCTCTGTAACAAATAGTGGGCTGCTGGCTTGAATTTGGTAGTGGCAAGAGACCAGATACAGGATGCACATATTCCTGACAGCCCCAAGAAGCTACCCCAGAACTTCAGAGAGGAGGACTGCCTCTTCCATGCCCAAATCACAAACACCGACCCATACAGCAACAGATGTGATGAATGGTGCAGGAACGAGGAGCACTGGGGCCCAACCTCCACCCAGTGCAAGATATTTTTAGCCTCTGGAAGAAAGTTACTTTGGCAAAGATTCTAAAAAATCTTTAAGCGCCTTACTGTAATGTTGTAATCCAATTCTAAGAGATCCCACAAGTAATAAACAGGTTTGGGCCAGGAGCCAAGACAATTTTCAATACCTTCCCCATTATGTACTTGGCAGCTCTTCGGAAGTATGCACCAAGCTTCGGTGTGTAGTTTGGTTTGTTGCTCCTGAAACGCACCCTCACCCACCTCAGTATATGCAGGGCTTTTTTTTCCCAACAGTAGCACAAAAACAGTAGCTGAAGTAAAACTTCCTGCAAGCCAGGTGTATGGAGAGTGCTGGATATGAAACAGACTTCTTCTTACCTGTGTGGAACCAGACGGCTTTCAAAGACCTGGCTTAAAAGCCAGCAAGGAGGTGTTACTCTTTGGTGCTTCTAGTGCATTGCATTAAAATTTACACAGAAAACAGCACTTCCTTGCAATGACATGCAGGACTCTCCAGCACAGAGTGTTTACATGCTTAGCGTGCAGAGACCATACAGCAAAACCAGAAATGCTTGGGTTTTTCCAGCAAATAAATCACATGCATCTCTCCCAGCTAAATCAGAACAAAAGATATCAAACCAGTCTGTGTTTTAATGGAAAAAGGGTAATGCCTTAACTACAAAATATATTAAAATACATAAATAAGTTACTGTAAGAAAAATAACTGTTCTGAAGTTATACCTGTCTTGCATAAATATCACATCTACACTTAAAACTAATGCTTCCTTCATGAAGCTTTGACCTCCGTAATAACATTGCACCTGACAGCTTAACTACAATGCTACCTTTGCAATGACTTCATGCTAGAGAGCAGGGGACTGAATTAACTGCTTGTTGTTCCTGGTTTGTTATCTGCCTGCAAACGCTGCCTCTGTGCAACTGCTGCTCCTCTTTTCACGAAGGGGCTGCTCCCACACGCATTATCCTGAACAGTGTATGAAAGTTGTTGCTTCTTATTGCATCCCGACAAGCACTGATCACTTGTGCTTTAGGTTTGCCAACTGTAAAGAGAAAAAAAAAAAAAAAAGGAAATAAAAGAAAAAAGCTTCAGTTAGTAAAAAACTGGTAAAAATACTAATTTGATCACATCTCAAAATTTAGGGTATTCTTTCAAGTATTTTTTAAACACACACATTGTTTCTAGTGCATAAATAAAATTCTTTAAGAATTGTCTGTAGCTCTATTTTAGGAGAGCTTAGAAGACTTGTTGGAAAGGGAATGCCATAAATAGACAAAAACATACCTCCTTCGCCAAAGACCTACAGAGCTAGTAATACAGACAAACAGCCCCGCCTTGACAGTTAATTTATAATGTTGCTTAATAAAAAAAAGAACTTAAACACTACTTTAAAAAGTGCTTTTAAAATTGTGTTCAACAAAACTAGCAATTTCTCTACCATCCAGACAGCTAGAAACCACTTTGCACTGTTCTAAAATCATGATCCCAGATGATACTGGGCACTGTTACAGGCAATTGACTAGGCCTGAAAAATGAAAGATTACTTCTACTGATTTATTTTCAGGCTAACAAGCCTGAAGCCACTTAACTAACCCAGGTGGCCTCCAAATCCATCTTACCTGCCTCACTATGGTCCCAGAGTTCACATTCCCTTCACACAGACACACACACTTACCACGTAACTGCCCAGCCCTCTGGATTGCCTGATTCACAGCTTTCAGGTTATTCAATAGCTCTGTGTGATTGTTGCAACGTATTTTGTATTGACTTATTAAATCTCTGTTAAGATCATACAGCTCGATGTAACGTGTCTTCATGTTCTTCCTGGAGGGGAAACAATCAGTCTAGTCATTTGCATCTCTGGGGACAAGAAAGTCATTCCTGGTTTGCCAATATAAAGGTGTAGCAATACATGGTTGCAATGGCTACCATGGTTACCCACATGTCAGCCAGCTATAAGGCAACAGGCTTGTCTACACATGTTGGTTATACTTATTTTTTACTCTTAGTTTTGCAGTTACTTCATAAGGCAATGCAAAGAGGAGATGCCACTTTCCCCAGTGAAAGTAACACTGCCCTGCTCAGACCCCTCTTGATAGTAAAGATAGGACATTTGCATAACACAGCAACCTGGAGTGAAAAGACTTGACACCTAAAATTTCTTTCTTCGTGTTCTCGAAAGTTCATACACCACAGACAGCTTTTACTGCCGCCTTCCCTCAGTATATCCTTCTAATGTATCTCACCATCCCAAGGTTGATCAACACTATGGGCTCTATGCTAAGCCCCTGTCCTTGCCCTTTTGCCTTCCCCAGACTGGTTTTCCACCTGAAGAACAAGACAAGGCTCAAGGGGAGCTCATGTGGGACCAGCGAAGGAACCAATTCTGCAGAGTTGTAACTAGGCAACCCTTGTATTACACAAATGGGGTTGTGTGCTCTTTTCTGCCTGAAATGCAAAGACTGGCTGTTCTAAACCCAAAACACACACAAGATAAGCAGCAATTGCTCACATGTCCCCGTGGCATCGTGCATCTTCTGCTTGAAGCAGCATGCTGCGGATGAGTCTGGAGTGTTCAGCCATGTCGGCAGTGAGCCTCTGATTCACAGCATGGTGTTCATCCACCTGTACAATGCAAACAGTCAGCAGAAAGCGCCCCTGGCACTCCGGACATATGGGTAATAGTTCAAGCTAAATCTTGGCCAAGTGTATTAGGAAATAAAATCCTAACTTAACCTACCAGCATCCCTGGGACCATTCTTCTTGCCTTAACCCCCCCTACCCGCGAGAGCAGTACCTTGGGGTGATCCGGCTGAGATAAACACACCTTATGCCCTCACTCAAATTCATAGCTCAGTCTCCCAAACATTTTACACTAAGTGATCAACTGCTGATGACCAAGGGCCTGAATAATCAGAAAGCAGAGGGTGCCCCATTGTCCTTGGCACAGAATATACAGCAAGCCTTAGCTGTCCGATTTCCATGAAGACAGAGCAGTTTAGAGATCCTCTCATAAAAACATCCCCAGTGACTGCTTAGCTGCCTATTTAGAAATGCCTGATACTTCCTCACCTTGACCAACACCTTTCGCAGTTCCTCAAAGTAGGCAGGGAAATCTGCTTCCACCTGCAGATCTTCAACGGCCAGAAAGGAGGCCATGGACTGGATAATATCACCAGCTAGATCAATATCATCCGTATTGATGGAAATCTGTCAGAAAGGAAAGAAAGCACTTCAGCGCTCTTCCATGCCAAAGCATCTCCCAGAACTGCCCAGCAGGACTGCCTCTCAAACCCAGGCTCAAAGCAGTTAACTCTATCAAAAGGCAAAACTGCTGCATGAGAAAGCTCAAGAGCTTTCAGTAGACAAGGAGACACTGAACTGAAAGGAGCTTTTATCCAAGCCTGGGCCAAAGAGGCATCTGTGCATACAAGACCAGTGCAGAAGTTACAAGTAGCTTTTGTGCCTCAAATTACGGCTCCCTGAAACCACTCCCTGAAACCACTCTGTGTGTGAACAGCCTACAGATGTGTAGGCTAAGCATTTTTCGTCATTAACAGGCCCTGGAATTTTGCCAACTAAGAGTAAATAGACCCAAAAGTTTCCAAAAGCATCCTTAAATCATTAGTACTTTCTCTGCCTGTTCAGTCATCCTTAATTTTTACTGCCTTATACTGGCACCACCCTTAAGTTTCACTGGAAGATAATTAAACAGGTGCTCCCCTTGTTCATGAAGGTACTCACCTCTCCGCCAGGCTTGATTTTGATGCAGAGCTGGCCTGCATTACGAAGGGAAGTGAAGCAAACCTGAAAGGGAACGCTCTGAAATTCCACATCCTCTGGTAGCAAGAAGCTCTGATTCAGCCAAGTAACAATCTTGAAAAAACATTATGAAGAGCATCAGCCATTATCTGTGTGGAAAGCCTGGAGAACCATGCACTATCCCTGCACATGATGTACATCAGGGCATTCTGTTCAGAGTACTTTAGAAACTCAATTTACTAAATTTCATCTCCTAAATCCATTTTTAGAATAAGAACAGTTGAATCCTTTCTCCAAAGCTGAATACTCCTAAAAAAAAAAATCAAATCCAACAGCCACAGATCACAGCTCAATGTCAAAACATGAGCCCAGGCCTGGAGACTGGAGAAAGCTGGGAAGCAAGGCTTGGTTCTCATGCCAGAAGTTGAAGAGAAGTTTAATCTTGGTTTTGCTTTGGGCATTTAATGCAATAAAGGTCATGTAAAGATGGCAGAGCCACAGTTATGAGGGAAATTACCAGCTCCAATTACTGTCATCCTGCAATTCAGATCCTTCAGAACCAAAGCTACAGCACTGCTGCTCATCTGTTGTGAAACTGAGCGATTATCTGGGCACTGTACTGCCTTTTTCCAGCTCTCTGCTCACTTATAGAATTCCTCACTCACTACAGGGCTCCTGCCACTGGCATTCCATCAGCTGTCACACAGCAAACAAGATTAATACCTGAAACGCCTCTTGGTCTTAAGCCATTAGTTCCTGTAGGAACTTCTGAAGCAGGGAATGTCTCAAGTGAGACATCTTTTAAAGAAGGAAGAAAAATCACTGACACAAATTGTAATATACAAACTCCAAAGGCCAGCAGGGCAGTTGACTGCACAATTTCTTCCTTTGCTATTGGAAATCTCAAGCTCACAGCAAATTCCCCACCTCCTCAGGATTTGAAAACAGGAAACAGAGCAGACACTCACCCTTTGTGGCCTCTCGTTCATTGTGCAGTTAACAAAGCTCAGGGGCTCTGCGGTGGAGTCCGGGCTGCTCAGGGCATACATTGAGAAGCGGGGAAGCTGTCTTGTCAACTCAAATACATGGAACTGTGTGCTGGAAGCAATCCAAAGGGAAAACAGACAGTTACTGAGGTACCAGAGATTCACCTATTGCAACAGCTCCTGATTCCTTCTAGCTGGCTACTGACATCAGAAGCTTTCAGCTACGTAATCGGCTGCCTACCATTTTCCAGGGGAAAAAAAACACTGGAACTTGGAAATCCAGGATTGTCACATCATGAGGTTAAAAAACTAATCCCCATTGCTTACACCTTCCATAATCCTTCCAATGAAATACACTCTCTAGGCTAACACATTTATGATTTTACAATGTGATTGGATATTTTCTTTACAGGTTCAGTGAAGTCTTTTACTGAAGGAAATAATAAAAACAGATAGAGAAGATAAACAATAATTCAGTCCCATGGGTTCTTTCTGCAGTGGTTGGCTAGTTCTCAAAATATGCCTCCCTGTTCAGAGAAAGGATGCTGCCTCCTAGGGCACTGCCAGGTCCAGCAGATGTGAGCAGGGACAAGTTGTTCAAGCGCATGTGAAGAGTCATTTTATTTCTATGGAAAACTGGCAAAGTCCTGGCTTGAAATCAAGCATATGGTACTTCCTATTTGCTCTGAAAACAAATGGGTTCGGAGTTACTTTGTAGCTTGAAAGACATCACTAGGTCTCCAGGCTTGCTCAAGTACTTTCCAGAGAGGAGCCATCACTTGGGGCATGGAGAGGCAGACACTGCAAACAGGCAGCCTGGACACAGCTTCTGCCTCTCATGACTCCCTCCAGAGACCCACAACAAAGCACACACACACACCCCCCAACAATTGCTTGCTGTTCCCCTAAAGGCAGGGCCAGAGCACAACAGGTCCCAGTGACTTCAGAGCATTTAGACTTTGTCTGGAGAAGAGCTCAGCATCAAAGGTTCCACAGTGTTTTTAAGAAAGCATTTAAGCTCTCCTTCCAGTAACACAGAGAAATGGGGCACAAGGGAATTAAAGGAGCACTTCCCATTGGATAAGCATGAAGCCATATCATTGCTGCTTTGTGGTCACACACTTGGCTCTGGACCAGTGGAGATCACAACACAAAACTCACCTGTTCCTGTAACCCACAAAGGCTTTGATGTGCAAATCCACAGGAACATCCTTGGCTGGTGTAAGGGGAACACGAATACAGCCTGAGAGATTCTGGGGACTGGGGTGTACCACATGGCTCTCTCCTTCAAATATGCCCTCAGCAAAGATCAGCACAGCACGGATGATTGTGTCTTAGCAACAGGAAGTAAAAGCAGTTCCTAAATTAAAAGCTGTCCTCTGGCAACAAACCACAACTATTTTCAGTATTAAGCATGGTCAACTCTTTACACACCTCCTCTGCGTAACCCAAGTGACCAGCATTGTCACATCTGGACCTGACTGCACCCTCAGCTCATGTGGTGCCACATGAATTTGGTATGTTGGGGTAGTTCCAGTTTTGCATGTAAAGGCAGCTGACTTCCAGCTGCACTCATATAATACCCTCACTAGCATAGGGTTAATGTTTAGAGTCAACACAAGGAGCACTTCAGGGATCACCAAGATTCTTTCATCCAAGTTAAAAGTTAATTGCCTTGGAAAATAACACATAACAAGAAACGAATTCCACCAAACTCCTCTCCCCTTAGACCCATCAAAAGAACACAGCTTGACTCAAAACTCTGTGAAAGGAAAGCAGCCACAAAGGGGATACTACAGACAATAAAGGGGAGACAGGCAAATCATCAGCTAAATACAACTACATGTTTGCATGAATTCACATGAAATGAATGTCAATGGTTGCAGATTACCACTCACCATTTGTGGTAGAAATACATAGCTCCACATGGGCAGACCGGCTGTCAGAGCCCAGATTAACCAAGAGGGCTGTCTGGAGTTGGGTATTTGCTGGAATCACACCTCTCTGCCCATCTATATTCACACTGTTCAGTTCAGCCTGTTTCAAAACATACACCCTTCAGTATCAGAATGTCAAAATTTTCATTCAAGCAACCTAGAAAACATTCACGTGAGTGCTCTTTTCTTGCAGGAGGTTGTGTTAACAGCAGTTCCCAGACTTCACACAGCTATACAGAGCAGCTGGATTACACATGGAGATGTAGATGCTTGATTGTAACCTGCTCCAAGTGGTTTATTGTCAATGAAGATCAGGGTCTGTACTCAAACCTTTACTCAGAAAAGCATTTAACAACTATTCAATTTTAGGTGCAAGATTAACTCCATGCTTTTGCTATGGTGGTCTTTTACTATTCAAATATGTTTGTTCTTTTCACAGACTGTTTTTTGAAGCTCTTTATTTCTGTGCCTTCACCATCACGCACAAGTGTGCTTTCCATACCCTGACAGTGCTGCCAGTTCTCACACAATTACCTGATCGTCTCACACAAGCCCCTCTGGCTCCTGAGATGGCTTATGGATTTAAAAATAAAATTTCCAGTTATAAGCCAAAGCACAGGACAGAATCCAGTCCCAAACACAACTGCTCTGGTAGGATGAAGGAGCAAGGAAAATGTTACTTATTAAAATACAAAAAACAAGTTCTGAACTCACACAAGGAGCAAGCCAAACGCAGAAGGAGGAAGCCACAGCAGACAATCTTGCTGCATCCCAAAGGTTACAGCTCTGATTTGTTTGGACTGCCCCATAACTGCTTCCCAGATTACTCCTGCTTAATTAGCAACAGGAAGGTATGGTTCGGCCCTACATCTTGCTTAAATAGTACCTTTGCACTTTCCTCATAATTTCTTAATTCCAGCAGCAGGTTTTGTTTCTTTTGACTAAGTTCTCGGATCAGATCCTGCTCAGCACTTGTATCCATTAGGTTTCCTTTCATCTCCTCACTTCCTGGCAGATAGCCTCGGACTGTACAGAAACAAAAGAGCCCATTTCAGCAAAGCTTTTCACAGCTTTCCCAAATCATTTATTTCTGTAACAAGACCCCCTTGTACCACCTCAGCAGCAAACACTGGTTCTGATCTTCACCTGAAAATCTGAGCAGTAATTTACACCCACAGAGGCTGTGACTTTCCAGATGATCACAAGAGAACTGCATATTCGAAAAAAGGTGGATTTCCAACCTGCCTTTAAGCTGTCTTCACCTGACCAGACAAGTGTAGAGCCCAGTTCTTCTGCCACAGGATTCCCACTGCAATCATTCTTTCAGGTGCTTAGACAAGTTTGCAATTATGCTAAATTAGTAAAACGTTTACCTGGATTTCTAGAGCTGGTCAGAGGAGTTGCTGCTGTCTGGAAGTGACTTCAAGTCACTGTCAGTCAGCCAGCGGTGTCAGCCACACTAACCTTTCCCCAAATCAAGGTATACTTCAAGGGATAAGGCCTGGAAGTATCCCAGTGGAGCGGAGTTATGGAAGTATTTCCAACTGCCTCAGGAGACAGAGGAGCTGAGCAGAGGGGACAAAAAAGCTTGCTATAAACTTCCATTTTGTTCTAGGGCTGTGTGATCTGATTGCAACTGACAATGAAAGCAAGGGACAAGTGTCTTGCCTGCAAAGACTATGCTGCCTGACTGCATATGCTGCTGCCCCATAAAAAGTTGTAGGGAGCTTGAAAAGCACTCAGCATGCACGCTCTCCTCCAATGAAAGGACCTGCTTTATTACTTCTGAGAGAATCATTCATTTAAAACAAGAGCAAGACAGAAACACAAAAGAACACCTCATGTGGAAGGATGCTGGCCCCAAACAGAACTCTAACAACAAGGACTATGAGAATGCATGGCCCAACAACTATTTAATATTATTTTACTATATAGTAACACCTAAACACTCCAGCCTAAAGGAATCCACAATGTTCCAAGGTTTGTTTATGACAGACTCATCAGAAAAGATTATCATGTTTAGCAATGTTAACCTACACAGCTCTGCTAAGACAAGGTTTCTTCAGAGCTGTACAATATTCCCCTTCTGTAAGCTTGGGAATAAGGTTTATATGCTAAAGCCCAAGCACAGCAAATCCCCACAGCCTGTGATTAAGACAGGCAGCAAAACACCCTGGTATTTAACAAGGACGGGCTCTTGTTCCAAATGGGCTGTGCCAGACCCGCTTGTCTCAGGCCACCGACGCCAAGCAGTCAGATAATCACACCAGTGTCTTTTCTGCGGCCATCCCTGTAAATTCATGCTAAGCTTATTCAAATCATCTGTGATCATATTTGTACCCACGCACAGGAACCAGGTTTGACTTCTTGAATGCATGGTGGGATAAACCCACTGGTTCTCCAGCCTTAGGATAGCATTTTCCAGGTAGCAAAGCACTGTTAACATCTAAAATTTCTCACAGAAGAACTATTCATGTTTAGAAGAAAAACAACACACACAACTCCTTAGCTCTCTAAACACCTTTAACCGCTGTAAAGCAATCAAAAAATCATCACATATAGGCAAGAAGATACTCTACACATTCATCTATAATAATGTTGCCTGAAGAATCACAATCTGTACCGAATGCAGTTATCTTTGCATTATTAGGATGGGAGTTCTTGCATTAGGCAAATGAATTTTGATGCTTCTTAAATCATAACAAAACTCACACTGATTATCACAGGGAAGGTAATATTCAAAATCCTGTTTGCATATAAGCATAACTCAAAATTCCCTTAACTTCACACAAAGCAAAAGGAACTCGGCATGCAAAAATGCCTGTGGAACTGAAACAACATTTAGCTAATGTGAGATAATGTGATGTGCCTGATATTACTGTGTATTAAATTAATAACCTGAACAGTGCTCTTACTTTCACCATCAACTGAACAGCAGATTAACTGGTTGCTCCCATCCATTCTGTAATCCCCCTCCACCACTCCTGCAATTGAGGAAGCAAAGTTGTCCTTAAAGATGACCTCCCCAGTTCGGTCATTGCGTGCATCAACCTGGAACAACAAAGAGTTCCAAGACACATCAGGAATAGAAAAGCTAATTCCAAAATAGATGTCATGCCATACTCTGAGCTGTTAATGAAAAACCAGCTCTGCTCACAGAACAGCAGGTAAATTTGCAGCTCTACTGATCAGAACACCACATGTGAAATAAAATACCATCAAGAAATGACCTCTGGACAGACTCAGATAGAAGGAGCTGCTCTTCAGAGATGCTTCCCTACGTTGCAAACAAGAGGAACCAAAGAAGAGGACTGCTAGTCTGCACTGGCAAGGTTATGCACACATGAATGCAGCAGTGATGGGACTAAACCAGAAATAAGCTTGATGCAGTATTTACCACACCGTCTTTCAGCTGCAGACCTTGTGTGGTGAATTATTTTTATACACAAATACCACAATCTTTAATTATCTTTCACTGAAGAAGAAAGAGGGGGGCTCAATTCTGTGTTGCCTGTCTTTTTCCAAAGCCCACAACCCAGCATTACTCTTTCTAGAAGCTAAGGACTGTTTCAGTACAAGAAGCAGAAAAGAACCTTCCAGTGGGAAAAAAAAAAACAGAAAAATGAGTAAATGAAGGAGAGCTTCTTTCTTTAACAATGTTATACACCTAATCCAGCATAAATTTACAACATATCTGGGCTCTAGACTGCTGGCTTGATATGAAGTTAATTAAACTCCCCCAGGCTAATAAGAGTAAGGCTAAGAGAGGTCTGAAGGAGAGGTTGTAAAGCATAGCTTTACAAAAAAAACAAACAAAAAACCCCAACAACCTGGCAAGCTGTGTCCAGGAGAGATTTGGCAGCTAGAACAGTCATTTCTGGCAAAGGGGAATATCAAGCAACAGGCTTAAGAGCTGTACAGAATGCCTTCACATAAAATTAAATAATGCTTGATTAATCTTGCACAGTCAAGACTGATGCTGCTCTCCTGTTACATAAATGCTTTGTTTGAGAATGTTTGAGAACACTGAGGAAACATCCCAGAGGATTATTAGCATGTCCTCAAGACAGCTGAAGAGGCACTCAGGAGCCCTAGGATGTGGCATGTGATCTCTGCTGCCATAGAAACAAGTTACCACACCTTAGCCATTGAATCTGAGCTAAGCAGATCAGCTTTTCTCTGATCTTGCACTTGGCACAGGATTCACCAGCCAAAGTAGGTTTACTGCAATAGTTCTCAGTTTTCAACAGTCTTTTTTTATTTTGTGCCTGTTTTCCTTCAGGTAATTTCACAGCCTTGTTCAAATACAGCTTCAAGATTTACAGCTCTTCATTTCACTTCTGTATAAACTCACCTTCCCATTGGACCAGCCAGTGATCAACTCAGATACACCATCTGAGTTCAGGTCAAATGCATGTATGCTAATCGCTTGGTTTTTAGACTGAGGAGAAAACACAAAGAACACATTAATCACAGACTGGTTTAGGTTGGAAAGGACCTGGAAGATCATCCAGTTCCAACCCCTGCCACGCAGAGGGACACTTTCCACTAGACCAGGTTGCTCCAAGCTCTGTCCAGCCTGACCTTGAACACTGCCAAGGGTGGGGCAGCTACAGCTTCCCTGGCAACCTGGTCTAGTGGAGGGTGCCCCTGCCTGTTTAAGCCATCACCAGCAGTCCCAAAAGCACCGAAGAAACTGACACTGTATTAATTTTGCATGTATGTATAATTATAGTTAGACATAAATATAAATTTTGTAACACCAAAATTACATTAAGTTCTATGCTCAGCAGAAGGTTTAAAATTCATCAAAAGGAGTCAGGGTAACATCAGAACAAATCAAGATAAGGTATCAAACCTCCTAGCAGCCTTCAAGCGAAAGTGATGCTATTCCAACAGACTAACCTTAATCCTCCAGTAACGGTTTGTCTTCTCATAAACTCCAACTGTTCCATTAGAAAGAGCATAACCAAATCGACTGCCACACATGGGGTTAAGTGCAGTAACAGTCTGTGAGGGGAAAGGAGGGAGAATGGGGATACAGGGGTGTAAACTACTACAACTTAAGTAGTAGAGAACAGACTATACAATCTCTACATGACAGGAAAACAGTATTTAGATGAAAAATAAGTCTGTTGTAGGAAGAGTTGAGTACTGATGCAACTGTTTTTACAAATCAGTTTGAAATCACCAAAGGCCTGTAGGATTTCCTCACACAAGCTAATTACCAATGTTAAGGTACACTTCAGCAAAGATCTGCAGAACTGTCCTAAAACTACGTACTTCGACCAAGTATTTCCTACAAGCAGCAACATAACTGCTCATAGGATTCCTGGCGTCATCAGTGCTAAACACATTATCACTGAAAACCTACTCCAAACACACGACACTCCTTCAGCTTCAGGAGCTGAGCATGACAAAGACTTTAACTTTACATGGGATGAGAAAGTCCTAGAGACAGAAAATCATAGAATATTTAGGGTTGGAAAGGACCTTAACGTCATCTAGTTCAAGCCCCCCTGCCATCGGCAGGGACACCTCCCACTAAACCATGTCACCCAAGGCTCTGTCCAACCCAGCCTTGAACACCGCCAGGCATGGAGCATTCACAACTTCCCTGGGCAACCCATTCCAGTGCCTCACCACCCTTACAGTAAAAAACTTCCTTGTATTTTAGCTAAACTTTCCCTGTTTAAGTTTTAACCCGTTACCCCTTGTCCCATCACTACAGTCTAATGAAGAGTCCCTCTCCAGCATCCTTGTAGGCTCCCTACTACGCTGGTAGATAATCTTTGCTCAGCATTAGCGAGCTGGAAATGCGCAGCCAGACTTCCCTGGAACACAATTAGAACACCAGGCTAAGTATTACCTATGTAACAGCTTCAGGGAAAGACCTGAGAGTCATAACTCAGCCTGCATCTCACAGGCTGAGTTAAGATCCCATCACCTTACAATTCTTCATTGAGCTAAGGCTCTCAGTACGTGGAAATGCAGGTTTTTCCATGCACTAAGACTAGAGATTTTAATGTAAGGAGGAACAATTACAATTATCTGTCAGGTCTTTTGTAAAACATAGTACAGAACATTTCTTTAAATTAAAAAGTTCACCAACTTCTTAATTAAACTCAACTGACTATGCTCCTTAATTTTCTCACTAGAAAACATGGTTTCCAAACCTCTACATTCCCTCTCACCATCTTCTCTAAAGCCTTTCCCAAGTATCATAACCCTCTACATTTTCAGCACCCAGTAAGGACAGAAAACCCCAGCAACAGTCAGAAACTCACAGTACTCCCTTTATATCTGACTGTCCATTTATAAATTCAATAATCACAACCGTCTATGGCTTTAGTTTCACCAGAATAAGTTGTTAAACCAAAGAAAATGCAAACTATTCAAGTCTTCCAAAACAAGCAGTGTATAAAGCCACTGTTCCCTGAATTTACCTTCCTAAAAGGAAAGGTTTAGGTGCAGCTGTGTCCTTTTAAATTCGGACAGGACTGTGATAGGCCTCCTAAGACACTGCAGACGTGAGTTTAAAACCATTCTACTGTGGATTTGGCAAGAAATCATACATGACAAGGACAGACCTTTAGCTTCCCTTTAACTAGAAATCACACCATGACTCCACTGTACGGACAGCAGAATGTATTACAGACCTAATGTGTTTTTACAATGTATTACCAATTCCAACTATAGCAACAACTTCCTTTCTTAGAACACTGCATGGATTTGTCTTTTATAGCTCTTCTTAAGTAGTTTAATAGATAAGTAAGCCTTTTAGTCCCAACTTGAGCAACAGGGAGACCTCAGATCTTTAAGGACAAACGTCTGTAACATGTCCTTACTGTACCCTGAGCCCAGAAGGGTCACAAGAAGACTAAGCAAACTCTTAAAGGCAACAGTAACAGTACTTTACTCCCTTCCAAGCAACCAAAATTTAACAGTGAGGATCTTCTCTTGGTTATTAAGCTAACGAACAACTTCTACACCTTTTACTCATCTCTGTAAACCCATAACTTTCTACTCCATTCTTTCCTTTAGGAACCGCAGCCCTGTTTGCCTGGGCACCCCTTTCTACCCTGCCATGCACTTATCTGGACATACACAGGGGCAAGTTACTTCATTGTGACTGTGTCAATGCATTTGAGGAAACCTGCAGAAGACATTCTTTTGCTCAGAAGGCACTAACAGATTCCCAGCCCAGTAACCTTAATAACCTTTCAACAGGGCCTTGACTTTTAGTCAAACAGCAGTTACTTTTCTCAACCTGGTGAAAGGCTCATAAATAAAGAAAAAAAAAAAAAAACAGAAAAAAAATCAACAAAAACCCCATGTATAATGAAAATTATCAAACTCTAAACTTCTGCAGTTCTAGCAGAACAGATATTGTACCATATAGTTAAATAACTAACTTCACAATAAATCTGAACCAGAGAAGCTTCACCATACATAACAATACCAGTTTCACCAGCAATTAAACAGTAGCAAGAAGCAATTTACCTCTGTCTCTGACATTTCTGCCATGATCTCATCTTGTTTGAACACCCGGATGTCAAAATCTTCAGAGCCAACAAGAAGCTAGAAAAAAATAGTCTACCTTAAGAATAGTTCTTCGGCCTAAGGAAACCAAAAGGAGTTAAGTGCCCAAGGGGGAAATAAACATCCCAAGTACAGCAACAGAGAGGTTTTAACAGCTCTGTGAAAAGTTGCCAGTGGAACAAAAGGTACCCTGTGCCAAGACACCATTTTAGAAGCCTCCTGTTGATCAAGTATTAGTTATTCCTTGTTTTGTCAAGTTAGACTCTACAAAAGCACAGTGAAATATCTGGGGTAGAAATGAGAAAATATATTTAAGAACACCAGGGCTATGCTCTTTTCTCACTGTAGCAGATTGAGTGTTCCAATTCCTAACTACAACTGTACACATCAAAAATACTATGCTGCCTGTTGTTGGAGCAGAAGTCCTGCGGCTCAATTGTGACTTGTACTACACTGTTTCTGAGAAACATCAACTCTCAGTTACTAGCCTGTGAGCAAATAGCTGGGGAAAAAAACAACAAAATCTTTGTTTAGCACTGAACATACCTCATTTTAAAAAATCCTCAAAACTAATGAATCCAAGTATCAAACCACTGCTGCTCCTCCAACCAAAATGGTGGCTGCACTACTGAAATCATGGGTAAAATGGGCTTTAACTCAGTGTGAATGATTATACAAATAGGACATCAACACTAAGTTGGATCTTCCACATTCTCATTCCTTATTGTTTCTTACATCTTTGTTCTTTCATGTCTTCTAGTTAAGCAGGTAGATGTTAACTGAAAAGGAGCCCCATAAAAGAGCTCTTTCTAAAGACGGTCACAGGCTTCTGTTCTGCAAACTGAAAAACTGAAGAGCAGATCTGCTTAGTGCCTTGCCCATAAAGTCAGCCATCAAATCAACAACAAACAAAATTATAAATCGAAGTTTAAACCCTGGAAGTACCTTTCACCACTGGAAGCAATGAGTCTTAAATCTTCACTTGGCAGAATAAACACAAATCCATATCAAAGTGATTTTTTTTTTAAAGATTAAAGGCTGCTTTTTTTTTCTTCCAAGTAAACATGCTTCCAATCATGACAAACTAAATTACACCAAACTAAGGTTACTGTAGCGATTGAAATAATTTACAACAAATAACTACGTAAGAGGTACAGATTTCTTGAGCAGTTGCAATCACCAGCAAAAAGTGACCAGCTAAAACATGGAATCCTGGAACAGTTACAAGTGATGCTGCATCTCCCAGAGGTGAATAAAAGATGGGAGTTTAATTTAGTTTGATTCAACTCGTCCACCTCAGTGCCTTTGATTCCACTAGACTGGAATTTGAAAAAGCAGGGAAAAAGTTCTTCCCCAAAAATGTTGAGCAAGATGAGAGGAATTAATCTGTATCAATCTAACATCCCAAGGAAGAAAGTGACTACAATAAATTGTTTTTGTTTGCTACTAAATGACAGAAGTATATTCATGCAGTTTTAAAATCAGTCAATTTTAAATGTAGACACGTTTTATGGGGGTGGGAAGAATAGAAATTAAGCTAGCACACCCATTTATCAGGTAACTCACAAAGTGATAAACCATTCAACAAGATGTTTCTGTGCATTTCCTTAGAATTCCGATTTTAAGCCAGAGGCAGTTTCACAAAAGCCACAAATAAAACAAACTTAACAAAAAAAAAAAAAAAAAGAATCACCTAGATAATTAAAAGAACCCTAAAAAAATATCAACAAATGCATGCTGGGCTAACTGGCAGGGTAAGTTAGCTGGATAACACACCCAACTCTGCTTAACTGAAAGCAGCATCACATTATACCACCCACTGAGAATGAACTTTTCTCAAGGAGAAAAAAACAGCAGAGTATCAAAAATAAAACAATTTAGAAGCACAAGTGAAAAACATCTACAATTAGTGACACAGATCAGTTTCCCAGTCTCTGAATCTTTATATACTATCTCTACTTTCTATAACTACCTCTCATCACACAGGAAAAATACACCCTAAGGGAAGCTATGCAGGAAAAGAATGGATAACCTGAACTTTTTCTCACTTCCGGAAGACCCCAGTCAAGCAAAGGGTCTGTTTTAGTAACACATAAGAGACGTACAGGCCTTTTACGTGTCACTATAAATACCACAGTCCAAGTAAACATTCAAAATTAGGATTTTGGGGGAACTAAACTGAAAAGCTTAAGTAATTATGATTAAAACTGCAAGACAGGTGACAAGTATTTTAGTGTTTTTAACATGGTGATTTAACATCATATTTACTTGTATCTGACATATATACTAGGAAGCCACCAATTTCCTTGAAGATTTATATTTATAAGCATGATTCTTCGATTCACTCAGGATGAAAGAACATTTACAATAGAGAATGCCATACAAATTCACAACTTCATCCATCATCCCTTGCAGCCCACGTTATCAGAATGGCAGCTCTTTCCTACTTATGAGGAAGATGCCTGTTACACGTTATTTTTATTTTTAATCAAAAAAGCAAAGATTATGTCATTTAGCCATGTCACTATGAAGAAAAGGGAGAACTTGATGTGAAGATGGATTTCTTAATCTTACTAATCATAAGGAAGCTCTTTGCAGCACAGATTTTTACAGGCTCATTTTTACACATAAGAAGCTCGCTAGCTTTTTATTTGAAACTTGAAAAAGGATTTAGAACCACATTCAAGAAATCCCACTGAAAACAGATGACTTGCAATTGATGATCACGGGCATTTCATTGTATTTCTCCTGATGTAGTTAAGGAAAATGAGAGAACTTTTCCATTAAAGCTAGCAATCAATTCACCAAAGCAAGGCTGTAATGCTGTAAAGACCCCAGCTATGCCTAGTTTTACACATCCTGAATAGTGCCAGAGACCACTGCTGCTCCCGAGATGTGGGCTGAGCATTTGTCTTCGCTGGACCAGAGGCTGAAAAAAGCGTAACTTCACTTCAACTAGTAATATAAGTCAGTCATATTTGATAACCCATGGTTTCTTATTATCGTTTCACTACAAGACCATGAAAACAGCTGAAAACACACATAAATGGCTACCAACCTCAGTTTTGCCATCACCATCAAAATCACACAGTGCTAATGAACGAACGTTGTCTCCAGTAACCTAAAATGAGAAAGACGGTCCTTGATACTGATGATCACTGTCAGAAGCTAAACTAATTTCATGATCTCAAAAACAACAGAACAATTGACATAGCCAGCATTCAAGCAACACCTGAGTGCACCGAATACATGACCAAAACACAATTTGAGGTCTAAGATAAATTGAGAAAGAAGAACAGCCAAATTAATATTTATTATAATAAAAAATTCAAGAGGAATTAGTGCCATTGAAAGAATCTTGTAATAGCATCAAAAACATTATGTGCAGCCTTACTGTCCAAAAAAGGTCGTTTCCTTCATAATCAAAGCCCTGCAGGGCACAGTTTCCACCAATAATAGCAAGTGGAGAAGAAATATCTCCCAGATTCCCAAGGACTATTGCATTGGCTCCATCTGAAACCTAAAGATATACAGCAAAGGAAAAAGAAACAGCAGACAATGGGATATCAGAGTACAGAAATCGAAACAGCGTCACCACTATCAGTCTAGCTGAGTTCTAGATTTTCTGAATTTTGCCATGCCAGGTGATGTGTGACACGTTATGGAAGCTTGTTCTTCCATGTGCATACAAAGACATATATCACATTCATACTTTTTAAATATTCCAGGTATTCTAAAGCAAAGTGTACTGAATCCCAGGCTGGTTTGGGTTGGAAGGGCCTTTAAACCTCATCTAGTTCCAAACCCCCCACCACGGGCAGAGACACCTTCCAGTAGACCAGATATTTAATTAATGCAAAGAACACATAGAATCATAGAATAGTGTGGGTTGGGAAGGACCTTAAGACCATACAGTTCCAACCCGTCTGCCATGGGCGGGGACACCTCACACCAGACAACGTTGCCCAAGGCTCTGTCCAACCTGGCCTTGAACACTGCCACGGATGGAGCATTTGAGCAATAAAAAATCATTGACAAAGTTATGTAAAAACTGTCATTGTTAGAATGGAAATAAAATAAAAAAAAAAAAGACATTTAAATTAACTTGCCTCTCTGTAAAACAAATCTGAGTTGTTATATACATCATAAGCCAACAAATTAGTCTGTGTTCCAACCAGAAGACAATCATAACCAAGCTGAGGGTTCAGCACTCCTGAAGCAAGACAACTGATTGCTTGATTAATGTTGAGAAGGGAAATGTCCGAGTCTTGATTACTTTGCACCATTCGGTTTGTGCTTGTTCTCTGCCCACGGGCATGAGGATTATGAATAAAAACCTGTAGTAACAAAGATATAAAGATATTATCACAAAACATGTATGTGTTTATGTACAAACACTAAAGACTACTGCCTGGGTAGTAACTGTGATGGGGAGGAAGAGCACTCAACCAGCCAAAGTGAGGACAAAAGAATGGGGGGATTGCTGACAATAGTGTTTCTGACAGCTATGCTTTGGTTTTAAACTATGCCAAAAAAAGGGAAATGGCAAGAAGAACACTCCTCTGGCCAGAGGGGTTGTGCCACCATACTTATGCTTCTGGAAGTGGCCACTGAGAACTCTTCAGAGGAAAGCAAAACCAAAAAGGATCAACAACAAACTAAGCAAATTATAGCCAGCTCTTAACAGAGTTCCCCAAAACCCCAAACACTTAAATTAGCTGGTATCAATAACCTCAATCTCTTGGTGAAGATGGTTAATTTAAAGAGCGGCCTGTGATTAGTAAGGTTTTGTTCTCACTGACCAGCATCCAGTCACTGTAATTGTTTGGACCAGACCCAGGGGATTGCAGGATATGCCTAACAGCCTTTGTTTTGTGGCTGCACAGTCCATCTCTCAAACAAGCCCTCACACCATTCCTAAAGGCTCCGAAACAAAATTAGTAATAATGCCAGGAAGCATCCCAGATGACCCATGTCTGTATTTACAGCAACCCAAATGCCACTGTAGATTTATGCTTCAACCTATATCTGGTTTTAGTTGGGCTGCACTAAGCTGAACCCTCTGCTGTTCAGATCTCAAACCCAAACAGAGCGCACACAGCGTTTCCTGGTCCGCAAGGCATCATCTGCAGAACCTTCGCACCATGCCTTAAACCCACGACTCCAAAACATGCCCCAGCAGCCTGGGTTACCGCTATGAGCTGCTGCCACCGCCCCGCTGCCTATGGGCAGCCCCAGCCCGGCGGACAGCGAGGGAAGCGGGACACCGCCGAGCCGGCTCCACATGGGAGGCTGCAGGCCTCAACGCGGGTCTCTGCCGCGGGCCGCGGGGCGCAGGCCCGCTACGGGCGCCGTGCGGAGGGACACCGCGGCCGGGCAACCCCCAAGCAGAGCCGGTCCCCTGAGCTCGGCGGGGCTGGGGAGCCCCCAGCCCGGGAGGCTGCGCCGTTACCTTGCCCGCTTGCGTGGCGGCCGCCAGGCAGGGGTGCGTCCCATCGTACCGGCCCAGCGCCACCATGCGGGGCAGGATCTTGTGGCTGAGCTTCAGCGTGAACACGGGCACCAGCATGGCGGGGCCGGGCGGGCTATGCAGGGGGGGCCGGGCCTTACCGGGCCTCAACAGGCCCCACCGCCGGACACCGGATGCTCCGGGGCCGTGCACCGTACGTCCGCCCCAGCCGCCGCTGCATCAGGGCGGGGCCGCGCCGGGCGGGGCGGAGCAGAGCGGGACTGGGCGTGCAGTGTCAGGCGGGGCGGCCGCGCGGGGGCGCTGCTGTGCCGGGGGGGGGGGGTTGGGCTACATGGAGGGAGGTTGCGGGGGAACTGGGGATGTTGGGGTGGGACTGGGAGCAGTTGGGGGTGCAGGGGGGCAGATCGGGGCAGATGGGGAAGACGTGGGGCAGATAGGGGCAGAAGGGGGGGAGATGGGGAAGATGTGGGGCAGATGGAGGTACTGGAGGTGTAAAACTGGGGGGGCAGTTGCAGAGGTCAGGGAAGCTGGGGGGCATCGCAGGGGCAGTGGGGGAGCTGGGTCCAGGACGGCAGAGGCGACTGCCCTCTGGGCAATCACAGCAGCCTCAACACCGGCACCACAATCCCAGGGGGCCAGCACCCAGCTGGGGCCATGGGATGTCCCCTCCCTGTCCCCAGCCCCCTGCCCAGTCCTCGCTGCCCCCCGGCTGCCGCACTCCCCATTGCTCACACCTCCATTAGCAGCCCGGTGCTTGGTTCCTCCTGGAACCGAGGAGCAGCAAGCCAGTACAACCAAACCCAGTGCCAGTTCCTATCCCAGCATGGATTTCAGTACCCAGATCCCTTAAGGGTCTCCAGGGCCCCCTCTACCTGTCTACAGGCTGGATAGTGAAGTGCTCTCTCAAGGTCATGATTTTCAAAATGCTTAAATTATTTTGGGTTTAAGAAATAATTTTAACCCAATAACATCACAAGTGCCATAAATTCTCTGCAATCTCTGACCAGTTACCAAATCCAGCACTTGCCATTCACTGGCACATTATCACCCCCATCCCAACAAGAGGCAGGTCTGGAGAAGGAAGTGCTGGTGATACACGGATTGACTCTTTATTTCCTGGTATCACTGGGACAACAGCCCTTTCCTGCAGAGGCCACAGGCTTGAGGCAAGGATTCGTTTCTAGGAAACCTGGCAGGCACATCCCATTTGGCTTTTACTTGGTGCATCAGCCAAGCCCTGGCCAGCAGAAGTGTCCCTGCCCTGCATACGAAGGAAGGCTCTCACAGACAGCGCTTGCCTGGAGATCATGAGACTCCAAATGTGACAACCGCCTTTTTCTTCTTTTTTATTGTTTTTACCAACTTTTCCTGGCAGCTCTATCAATGTGCCATTATGCTCATGGAGAACGAGGCAGCAATCTCTTGTGGCATATTAAAGAGGAGGGTATTTTCCCTCTTTGTGGACCTGTTTTGGGTGAGCGCAGGTCTCAATGCAGCCTTACCGTGGGTCTCCCCCACTGGGTGCCGGTTTGGGTACTGGAGCACAAAGGCAAAGCAACAGGATGAACTCAGGCACACACACAGGGTGTTGCTCAAGCCCAGCAAATGCTACTGCCCTCCCAGGAAGTATCTCCAGCTGGACTGCAATCCCAACCAAGCAAAAAGGGGGGAAAAAACTGAGCTCAGAGACCTTTATAGGCTGGTAAAATTGTAAATGGATGAAAATTCCAGCTTCTCACTAAATATGTATGGTCTAGGCTGTAAATATTATTTTGCATCTCTAATTATTGTATTGGGTTTGGTGCATCTGCAGCATGGTAAAATTATGCTGCCTCTTACAGCTGCCACTTTGAATTTGCTGGCTCTGAAACACTGAATACTGAAATCCAGAAAATGATGGCTTTTAATACTCACTTTCCCCCATTTGAAAGGTCTGTCATCTATTTTATATGTACAGCATCCAGTCTGTGCTTCAGCAACCACCCCATAGCCATCCAGCAGTGCTCAGGACAGGAGTCTTTCCCTTTCCCCAGTTTTGTAGGGGGGAAATCCCACAGAATCCTCACTTTCTATATATCATTTCATTTAATATAATACAGTATGATACAATAAATTATATCAATATAATCAAACATTCTTGGTAATGGTTGCTGGCTCTCTAGGCAAGTTGCACTGAGAGTCTAGCCATGATAGCAGAACACCCAGGAGCTGAAAGACTTCCAATCTAACCAAAACTTCCTTGTGCCTTTATCTGCCTGGCAGGGGAGCGCTGAGCAGAGCTCAGATACTGAGTTTGGGAAAGCGTTGGCAAAAATAACCGTCACCAGCCCCCCAGGAGGGCATAATATGGTTGGGAGGAGCAGGGAGGGATGAGAAATTGCATCTGCACACCAAAATACATCTGAAAATGAAGACTGAGCCCATCTGAGCAGCAGCAAACCAGCTTTTCTATCTGCAGGGGCTTTTCTCTTTTCCCATCCCACGTTTGCTGCCTAAGCCAGAGCAGCATTTCTCCCCCCATCCCATGAACATCCCTGGGATAGGAGATGACTTCCAATGGGGATGGGAAGAGCTGCTGCATGAATCATCCCCTCAACAGACAACCACAGTCTCTGGATCTCAAGAGCAAGGCTATGAAGACATCAAGGAAAATACCACATCCTTTTATTTCACGCCTTTATACTAAGGGGGTTGGTGTTTTCTTTGCAAGCTTGGGCAAGTGGCTGCTCAGCATCCCAGGGGATTACTCATCCCCTCTACTCTTGGCTTCTAATTAGCAACTAAATGGGAATAAAATAATTAAATATGCCCAAGGTAATGATACTTGGAAACTTCAGGTCACGTTTCAGCCGGGGGAGGCGGCAGGTAGTTGGAGCAGGTGAGTTTGAAGTCTGTGGGAACCTGAAAGACACAAAAGGGAAGGGAAGATGGGAGGGGGAGAGAAGAAAAACAAAGAAAAAGAAGAAAATCCAAATTGTAGACTGGGAAAGCATTAGATTTGTGAGTTTAAATGATGTCTAGAATTATGGTGATGCTTAAATCCTGCCTGTGCTGGTGCCAGCAGTGCTGGGCAAGGTGGGGGACACCTTGAGGACCCCATTTCTCCAGGAGGGTTTGCAGAGATGCTGGGCAGCCCCTGGCCACCAATGCTCTTCTCTCACAGACGAGGGACAAGGTAAATTGAAGCCCTTGTATTTCCCAGCAAAAGCTTGGTTGGTCCTCACCCCCTTCCTCCCCTTGGGGGCTGCAATTCTGCCCTCGTTAGACCTTGAAGTAATTCCCATTAACATTTATGAGAATTTCATGATCAAAAGAGGAATCAGCCCTTTCATCTTCCAGACATGCCTGAACGCACATTGCCCAGCCCCAAAACCCTGTACCACTGAGCAGGAGCTCCTGCCCTGTGCTGGGGTCCCTTAGGATGCACACCACAAAACCAGGGTAAGCATGTGGGGTCAGACTCACCCTCCTGGACCCAGGTGCAGAGCATTGGCTCAGCATTTCTTCCTTTCCCTTCCCCCTAAGAATAAATAATTACCAAGTCACCACCCTCTCCATACTCTTTTTTCAAAGGGAAAGTGCTATTGATAGCTTATTTCCAGATCAGAAATAGATATCGAGCCTTTGCCTGGAGCCATAGGTTGCGCTGGTGGCTGAGCCCAGCTCAGAAGCCTAGATCTGTGAGTCCCAGTCCTAGTGCAGCCTGCTGGGTTGCAAGGTGGCTCCCAAACAGCCCACATCAAAGCATGCTGAAGGGTTGTGAAAGCATTGTAGGATTGCACACAGTGCAACTCCTGCTTAATGAAAATCTGCTCATCCCTTCCTGCTGCCAGCGAGCCCTGGCTGGAGGTGTGTACCTATTGCTACAGGTATGATGGTGGGACACCAAACCCTACCACGGAGGGCATTCACCCAGATTAATGGAGACACACCGTGTCTTTGCTGATGGCTGAGCATCTGGAGAAGCACCAGCTGGCTTATATTTTCCCAACACTTCGACAGAGGTGCAGGCAGGGGTTTGCCAGGAAAGCAGGCAGCAGGGAAGGAGCGAGGAGGGAAAGCAGGCAATGGGCTTAGCTCATGTCTGCTACTGAGACCAGAACAAGTCTCTGCCCACTGTTTTCTGGGAGAAAAAGGAAAGAAGCCTCCACAGCATGATGTCACCCCACCAATCCAGTTTCACTCTCAAATGGGTTCCAAGGCTTTGCCTATGTACACAGGGAGCATTTGGGAATGGCTTTCCAGGGGAGGTGACGAGTGATTCACACCCTTCCTCCTCTGCCGAAGGTCTGGCAAGCACTGACAAAACAAAATTACATCAGCACCTATTTCCTGTGTTTTAAACACTTGTTTATCATCAGCAAATAACCCAAGATACCCATCGAGTCAAAGCCAAGCTGCTTTCTAAGCACTGATCCCTTCTGTGGCTTACTGCTGGCTTTTAGCACCTGGGGTGCTGGGTGTTTGCTGGGTGCTAGAGGCATCGGCACCCTTCCCAGCAAACAGCAGGCAACATGAGGGGCAGTGTACCCCCAGGGACTGCTCTGTGGGGTCTCCATACTGTGCCCACCCTCATTTCATAGCTGCCTGGCTATGAAGCAGACCTGCCCATGGTCCATATTCACCGGAGCCATGATGCGTTGTCACACAACTGCAGGGGATGTTGTATCCAGGCAAAAGACAGGTCACCAAACCCAACACTGCTCAGGCAGGAATGATGAGCCTGGAACAGGTGCTTTGGGGAGACGTGTGCCCATCACCCCTCAGAGAGGGGAAAGCAGGACCTGTAGTTCTCTGCAGGTTTCCTTGAAGGCAATGTGATGCAGTGGCTGCAGAAAATCATGGACAAACAGAGGCAGAAACAGGTTCATCACGTGCCCCTGCATGACTATGGGTGACTGGAGCTGCACATCCTTCAGCAGGGAGACAGGGCAGACCTGTGCCAGGTCACCTCCTCAAGAGCCTTTCTCCTCACCTGCGTGGCACCAGCTTTGAGTCACTGCCAGTCACCGGCACCAGCCCCACCACCATCCTTTCATCAATCTGATCTAGGCTCCCCAGGTGTCACAAGTGCCTGTCGCAGGGATAGGTACTTCCAACACATATTCCTGAAGGTTACCAGCCTCCTTCACTCCTTTCTGGGGAGCCCTGTCCTTGCCATGCCTTGCAGAGCCATTACCCCAGCTCAGTCATCATCATCCCACCAGCAAGCATCATATCCGGCTCTGCCTGGAGCACCAGAGCATCCTGCTGACTCACCCCACTTAATTTGCCTGGCAGTTTTGGGGTGATTGCCATGGATGTGCTGGGGGACAGAGCCAGGAATCCCAAACAGGGGAACACAGCAGCCAAGGCATATGGCTCCGGCATGGCAAAAGCTGGCAGATAACTGTTGCACGGGGCACCTGTCTGTGGGGTGCAGCATCAAGCTTATTTAAATCATAGAATCACAGAATGGTTTGGGTTGAAGGACCTCAAAGCTCACCCAGTTCCAACCTGCTGCCAAAGGCAGGGACACCGTCCATTACACCAGGTTGCTCCAAGCCCCATCCAACCTGGCCTTGAACACTGCCAGGGATGGGGCAGCCACAGCTTCTCTGGGCAACCTGTGCCAGGGCCTCAGCACCCTCATACATGAATAACGAATGTACATGTATAGTAAATGATGGGGAACCCCCAGGCTCTCCCAGCAAATGAACAGCAGGGGCCAGAAGGTGAACTGGGTCTTGCAGGGCCTTGTACCTGGGGGTATTTAAGCAGCGGGAAGGTCTCCCCAGGGTCCCAGCTCTGCAGCACATCACCCCAATTACCAGTTGCTCCCAGAAATGGCCAAGCTGATGTGTGTCCAATTCACAACCCACTGCTCCAGCCCTGCCCCAAAATAATTACAGAATGGACCAGGAGCAGTACATGACCTCCCAGAGCCCTGACCCCATGCTCTGCATTATCTGGGAGATAATGTGCAAAGGTGGGGAGGAAAGAAGAGGAAAAGGGGCCTGAGCTGAGAGTAGGTGATGGAGAGCTTTTCCTCCACCTCATCCTTTAGTGGCAGAGATTGCACAGTGCAGCTGACGTTGCTCTGGAGAAGGACCACTGTGAAGGGTCCATCCGTTCCCACAGCCCTGAACCACCACCAGCCAGGGACAGGGCAGTCTGCCAGCACCATGGCTTTGCTGTGTGGCCAAGGGTGCCAGGTGGTGTGGGAGGACACAGCAGACGCTGCAGTAGCATTGGTGTTCCCCTTGCATCCATCATGACTTAAATGGAAGCACTTCCACATTGTGGGAGTGCTCAGGTGGCTGTTTCAGAAGCAGAGCACATGCAGGACCCCAAGGAGGAGTCCCACGTCTGCTGTGACCCCTGTAGTGCAGGGGGCCGTAGCTGAGGCAGGTATGAGGCCACTTGCACGTGTTTCCTGGCACTTTTGTGTTTCCTTGCTCCCGCGGGAGCAACCGACACTCTTCGCACTCACCTGATCCCTGGCACCGTCCCCTGCCATCACGCCCCAATGCATCATCAGCAGCATGACCGCAGGGCTGGCACGCCAGGGAACTGAGGAGCTGCTGCCGGGATGGAGGTGGCAAAGGAAGGGGCCCATGGGCTCTGCCATCCTCAGGCTTTTACACACCAATTTCTCACCCTGGCCTGGCAGGGCTGGAAGAGACGCTGAGTCGGAGCGCTGGCACCGCTCCCCACCAGGTCACCCAACAAGCTCCAGACATGCCCAGACAGCTGGGTGGTAAAAATACTCCTTGGCCCTCTGTTTCTGCTGGATTAGCATCACCTCCAACAAACCACTTTAGCCAAGCACTGCAGGCAGCAACCCAGCAGAGATAAAACCCCAAAAGCAAAGCAGTTTCAGAGCCTGGGGCAGCCAGGATGGGGTACCACTGACACACAAAAACCCCAGGGGTGAGGAGGAAGGATGCTCCAGGGCTGGCAATGCTCCTGGCCATGGGACAGTTCTTCACTGCACCAATAACCTTGGAAAGCATCAGGGTTTTTTGCACTTTCCACCCCAAAGCCTCACTGCTCTTTACAGTGGGTGGTTAAAACCAGCTGGAGGAGTTGGCCAGGATGATGGCATCTTGCCTACCACCCTCCTCCCTGCACACCCGGCTAATGGAGCGTGGAAATTAACCCAGACGAGTGGGACGGAGCACTGTAGCTGGGAAGGAGACAGGGCCCCGAGGTGCCAAGCACAGCGCTGAGGGGACGTGGGTGCTGCCCTCCTGGGGCGCTGGGAGGGCACAGAGGCTCTGGCTGAGCCAGTCCAGCTTGTTGCTGCTCCTGCTCCTGGGAAGGGTGTCAGAGCCACTGGATGGGGTCTGGGGCAGGGACCGCATCCCTGTCACTCCATTGTATCAGCTCCCCTTCTCTTCACTGTGAGGAAGGGACAAAGAGCAGTGGTGACTGCCCCATGATCAGAGCACCTCCTGAGACATCTGGGGGTTTGGCAGACTGATTTAGGCAAAAGGCAGGGCTGGGGGGGGGAGGGGGGGTCCACCTTGAGTGAATCCCCCAGCCCATGGGAGAGAAGCAGCACTCCCAAGGTGGGTGCCATCAGTGTGATGAGAGCTGGCTGTTCTCTGCACACACACACACACACGCACACGCACCCCAACATCTCGGTGGTCCCAGACATCCCTCCCTGCTGTCCCCACCACGCCGGGGAGGGTACACATGGGAGCCGCAGGTGCTGCCCGGGGAGTGAATCAGCAGCGCCCGGGGCAGGCGCGGGCTGAGCCGTGTGCAGGCTGCGAGGGGCGGAGGTTTTGCACTCGCTCTCACCGGCCACGGATAAATAGGAGGCGGCGGCGAGTTCTGGTAAAGCTGTTCTTCACATTGTCCAGCGTCTCCGACACCCAGCCCAGGCGGACATGGACTCCCAAGACTGCCCTTGTGCCACCGGTAAGCCAGCGCTTCCCTCCGCATCGAGCTGCTGGAGCCTCCCTGGGGGACCGCTGATGCTCCAGCCTCCTCTTACATCTTCATCGTTCTCATCCTGGCTGGGCTGCCTGCTGAAATCCCTTCCCAGCACTGCAGTGTCACACCTGGAGCATCTCATTGGGAACGCTGTGACCTCTCCAGAGAGACACCAATGCTCCCCCTGTATCCCTCGGCTGGAGCCTCCCTGCCGAGCCCCGGGGATGCGGGGCTCCCTTCCCACCACAGCTTCTCATTCTTTTTCCTCTTTTTCTCCGTGTTCTAGGTGGCACCTGCACCTGTGGGGACAACTGCAAATGTAAAAACTGCAAATGCACATCCTGCAAAAAGGGTAAGGGGGGTCCTTGAGCACACACTGGGGCGGGGGGCAGGGGTGAGGGACACGACATTCATGGGGGTTTCACTAAACATTCTGGGACACAATGAATCAAATCAGACTCAGATTGCCAGGGTGGAGTTTATTCCTCATGTACATTCTTGGCCCTAGAGGAGCAGAGGGTGCAATCTGCCTGCCACCAGGCAATACCAGCTACCCAGTATAACCCAGAAGTTGGCATACCCCTTGCTGGCACTTTGGGCTCAGCACAAGCGGGATGACCTGGGAGGAAACCATCATTGGGATTTCTTCTGGCTGCTCCTGATGCTTGCAGCCCCGGGCACAGCCAGGGCAGGGCAGGGGGGTTGCTCGGTGAGGGGCTGATGGGCCCTGATGAGCCCTTAGAGGTCCTGCACGTGCCTGGTGCAAAACTACCCCGGGAAACGTTGCCAAGATGGGGATGCTGCTAAAAGGGGAGTGCACAAGGCTTGGAACGAGGTCTCCAGACCAGCCACCCACCACGGAGCCTCCCCAGATCTCACCCTGAGACCCCCCCTGACTCATTCTTCTCCCTCTCCACAGGCTGCTGCTCCTGCTGCCCGGCAGGATGTGCCAAGTGTGCACAGGGCTGTGTCTGCAAGGGGCCACCCTCTGCCAAGTGCAGCTGCTGCAAATGAAGACCCCCCCCAGCTGCACATCTGGGGGTGCCGTGCATCAGAGGGGATGAGAACAATAACCTTATTGTGTATGTTGGGTTTTTTTTTATATGTGTGTTCAGATACCTTTAGTGTTTGTCACTGTGATGTGTAATAAGCTACCTAAATAAAGTGATGTGTATATAAAGGTCTATAAGGAAGCTGGCACTTCTGTTGGATGGGGGGGGTTTCTCTGGGGAGCAGGAGAGCACTGGTTTTGGGGAGTCATGGCAAACAGCTTGTGTGTTCTTTTTGCTTTCTTCTAATCTTCGCTCTGCCCTCCCTACCAGCAGCTCTGACACTTTCCTTGCACAACAAGGTAATTCATGGTTGGGTTTTTTTTTCCCCCACCCTGTTGTTGCCCAAAGGCAAATCCCATGCTTTCTCCTCCACCAGAAATCCTCAGGGCTAATGAGCAGCTCCTTAGTAGGAGCCTTCATCGACAGTGTAATAACTGGTGCAGCCCTGCCCATTTCCAGGGGTAACGTTTCCATGACAGGTGGGGTGGTGGGGAAACAGGTTTAGCTTTTCCTTCCAGCAGTTTGATTGAACTGGCTGGGAAGAACTACACTGCTCATCCCTCTGCCAGCTTGGCAGGGTGCTTCTGCAGGGAGCTGTGTGTGACCTGGATGTCCACAACGGGCTGTGATGCCCACAGTGTGGTGCAATGCCTGCAATAGGATGCTGTGCCCATGATGGGGGGGGCAATACCTGCCAGGGGTTATGATGTCCATGCTGGAGTGTAATGCCCACACCAAGGTGCAATGTCTGTGATGGGTTGCAATGCCCATGCCAGAGAGAGTCCACGGTGAGTTCAGATGCCCAGGTTGGTGTGTGATATTTGGTCTCCTTACAACAGGACACTGCATCCCAGGAGCTATGTGGCACCCTGCTGCTCCCTAGGACACCTGAGGGGCCCTACCTCTCCTCATGCTCCCCAAACACAGCCTTTCATAGCCTTTTTATAGCTGTAAAATCTTTCTTGACCCACCTAGCCACTGCTGCCAGGGCTCAGCAGGGGTTTGTCACAGATAAGGGCACACATGAACACTGGGTGCTTGCAGTGCCCATCCTTGGGGATACTCCTTTGCTCCAGGAGGGCTCTTCCCCCAGGGTGTCCCTTGAGATGTCACCATCACCTCACACTTCCAATGGCTGTGAAGTATGTCACTATGTAGGACAGGGCAGGCATGTCATAGGCAGGGTGCAACACCAGCTCTGGAGCTCCAAACTAAACTCCATTCTGCAAATCACAGGGTTCTCTTTATTCTTTTCTACCCAGAGAGATTTAAGTGCCAACCATGCAAAAACAGTGGGTGAGCCTACAACAAGTCTGAAGGAGAGGTTGCTAATGGGATTTATCCCCAAACGTGGTTTAACCAGTGGGGCTGACAGCATCTTTCTAGCCTCACTGTCCTGGATGAGCTTGCTTCAGTCCTGCCCCACAGCAGTGTGATAGAGAGCACCTATTAGATGCTGTTCAAGCCCTGAGACCTGTGCCGGGAAGCTTGGGTTCCTCTGTTCACTTTACAGCCACTATAAAATCAGGGTTGGACCTTGCATCTCTCTTTCATGGGCACAGCCTCAGGATTAACTACGACTCCCTGCCAGCCCTGGGAAATGGGAGCACCAGCCATGATGTGGGGGGACCTTGAGGTCTCCTCTCCCCACTGACGTCTGGCATGTGCCCTGCATCCCAGCAAGCCCATGCCTTATCCCTCTCTGACCTGCTGCAGAGTGACCTCATTATTCCGTGGAAATGCCCTGATTGGGAAACTGGGCATTTTCCAGACTTTCCTGTCCCAGCTCCACACACACGGTCCTGTGGGGACTTTCCCACTTGCAATGACTGGAGCACAGCCCCTCAATGGGTGACGTGTGGGATTCCCAGAAATCTGGGAATTCTCGTGCATTTCTGCAGCCTTGCCCCTGCACAATCACCCCCTATTTTCCGTGCATCCCCATGTCAGGATGCACATCCCCATTTTGGGTGCTGTGGGGCTCCCATTTCTTCAAGCAAGGATGCAGCAGAGACTGTCCTTGGTGGAAGGGGGGGGACAGACCTTGCTGGGAGGGAGTCCGGGAAGTGATTTCACAACTCCTGTTTATGTGCAGTAAGCCCACACGTGCCATGATCTCACCTCTCCTCCTTTCCCGCTCAGCCAGTGGCAAGCGCGGTGCCTGCTGGCTTAGCCCCGTATTTACACTGCCCGTGGAACACTGCCAGGAAAAAACAACCCTGTGGTTCTGAACACGAGCACGAGCAGTTCCCTGGCACGACTTCCCAGGGCCACAGGTCCCCTCCTGATCCAGGGGCCTGCTGACCTGAGCTCCACCAGGATGGAGCCCATCCACAGTGCCAGGTCTGAGCCCAGGCTTGCCCTGTTTGCCACACCACCACCAGGCACAGGGACAGCATGTCCCTGGCCCAGCCACTCATTTTCATGCCCAGTGCCAAGCTGACTGGTGGTGAAAGCCAGCTGGCACATAAACGCTGGGACAAGAGGGAAAACCCATGGGCACCGCTGGTGCAGGGAAGCCATGATTCCCAGCAGCCCATGCTATGACCCAGCACCACATCCAGGTGCTGACCCCCATGCATACCTCTCCTGAGGACCTGGCTAGTACCCCAAGCTCTACCCCGGGGCCACCCCACTCTCCAGCTGGATGCTGAGACTATCCCAACCCGCGGGCCTCTTCACGGGTGGGGGGCCCAGCGCTCCTCACCACTGGCACATGGAAATGCCCCAGATGTGCAGGAGGAGCTGGGGGCAGTGCTACGCCAGCGCTGCCACCCCCCTCGGCATCTGCCGGCATCTTGGCCCTCAGGGATGCAGCACCCTGCGGGGGGGGTGGGCACAACGGGGTACGGGTAGGACCCTCTGGATGGCAGCGGGGAGCAGCAGGGGGAGGCCAGGGCCGTGACCCGGGTGAACACCGCACAGACTGAGCACGGCCCCGTCCCGGGTGAGCACGGCTCCACGGCACCGCCCCCTGTGAGCACGGCCCCACGATGAGCACGGCCCCACGGTGAGCACGGCCCCACTGTGAGCACGATCCCATAGTGAGCACGGCCCGGCCCGGCACTGCACGGCCCCGAGGAGGGTCCCGCCCCGCCGTGCGCAGCACCGCGCACCGCCCTATGCTTTCACCCCATAAATACTGAACGCCGGCAGGGCTCTCTACTGCTGCGAGTCCAGCCGAGTCGAACCGAGCAAAGCCAACCAAGCCAAGCCAAGCCAAGCCAAGCCATGGATCCCCAGGACTGCACGTGTGCTGCCGGTAAGTGTCCCGGTCCTGTGCCCGGCGGGTCCCCGTCGCGGCCCCGGCCCCGGCCCCGTCTCAGCTTGACGGCCGCTCTCCCGTCTCAGGTGACTCCTGCTCCTGCGCCGGGTCCTGCAAGTGCAAGAACTGCCGCTGCCGTAGCTGCCGCAAGAGTGAGTGTGGGGCTCAGCCGGGGGAAGTGGGAGGGAACATACAGAGCTTCTCCTTAGGGGTCTGCCCGTGCCTTGCTGGGCCCCCATTGACCCCTCCATGGACACCTCCCAGCATGCCCGTGAATCCAGAGGGTTCTTGCCCTGTAGAGAATCTCTCCTTTGCACTGTAGGACTCCCTATGGAGACCCCACCGCTCTGACATGGGGGTGCCCATGTCCTGTTGGGCCTTTGCGAGGATCCTTCCTTTTTCCTGAGACCTGCCGCCTGTTGCCCTTTGAGGGGTGCCCCTTCCCTGTTAGGACCCAAACTGCTGTGCCATTGGGATAATGTGTATGGGGTGTGCTTTTTTTTCCTTCTCCATCAGGTGCCTCTGCCCCATGGGACCCCAGTTCCTTTCCAGCCCCACCCCCTAACTCTCGTGTCTCTCCCCCAGGCTGCTGTGCCTGCTGCCCCGCAAGCTGCAGCAACTGTGCCAAGGGCTGCGTGTGTAAGGAGCCGTCCAGCAGCAAGTGCAGCTGCTGCCACTGAGCCATTCACCTGCGCCTGTAAATAGCCAGCACACTTTGGGGATAGGGGTACGGGGGGGAGGGATGGGGATGACACAGCACAAAAGAGCCTATTTTCAATGTTTTGTATTTTCTATACCAGTGGTGTGTTAACTGGATGGAAATAAAGGAATAAAGGTGTTTGGCTGGAGGTGTGAGTGCTGCTGCTGGACTGGAGGCTGAGCACTGTTGGCACTCGTGACTCCTGTGTGGGAATTGTCACCTTGGGGTGGTGGTGGGCTGCTTGCAAACACCCCAGTGGCCTTCCTGAATGCAAAAGAACTTGGGGAAGAACTCTATCTCCCTGGAAGAGAAAAGCAGCTTCTCAGGCTTTGGGATGGATCTCATCCTGCACATCAGGTGGCTTTGGGCATCTTGAAAGTGCTGGTCCCTTGCTGAGGACAGGGGAGGCATGCTTAGGTAGGCTTCAGCCTCCTTCTGCCGTCCTCTGACTTGGTGGTAGGTGTTTCTGCACCACCCTGGGGTTTCCTGTGGGTGAAAGAGCTGGTGAAAGCAAGCATGGTGGCTGACAGGGTGGTGTGGGCTGGCAGCATGTCCATCCTGAGCTGCTACAGCAAGACACTGAGCTGAGCCCCAGGGGGAACAAACCCACCCCAAGATCTCATGCTTAGCAAGCCCAAATTCACTCTCAGAGTAGCTCTACCACCAAAGGGATGCTTTCCCTGCAGCCTCCCTGTGCCAGGTACCACCAGCTACAGTGCCTCACTCCTCCTGCCCCAGGAGTGATCTCCAAGCACTTTTTCCAAGGCCGTTTTGGAGAGCACTTTGCTTGGAGCTGCAAAGACCTCCAGGCCCAGGAGGGCAGACAGTTATAGCTGTGAATAAGCCCTGTGGGTGTTAAATGCAGCGCTCAGATGCCCTGATGGTGGGTGGCTGCAGGATGACAGGTGCTGGGAGTGTGGTGGGGTGATGGGAAGGTGCGTGGGACGTGTTTTGCTTCCGAAACTCTCTGCCAAGTGAAAGTTGCTTTTTATGGCTTTTTATGCACAGGAGCATCTGCCTGCCTGTACTTGTCCCCTGGGTGTGCCCTGCCACCAAGGCAGCTTCTCAGCCCTGGTTCAAGGGCGTGCACCCCACCGCTGTCACTCCTCCCCTGCCCCTCCACACAGGGGGACAGCTCAGCTTGGCATGGGTGTCCCCACCAGCCCTTGGTG